CACCCTATCTAATAAAGAGGGAATATGCTAATTGACTGCCCCGCCCTTAAAGATGGCAGCGCCCACAGCCACAAGATGGCTTGCAGGGGAGGGCAGTTGTGGGCGATCAGGCCAGCAGGGGAGGGCAGTTGGGGGTGACCAGGCCGGCAGGGGAGGGCAGTTGGGGGCGATCGGGCTGGCAGGCAGAAGCGGTTAGGGGTAATCAGGCAGGCAGGCAGGCGAGCAGTTGGGAGCCAGCAGTCCTGGATTGTGAGAGGGATGTCCTGTGGGATCGGGCCTAAACTGGCAGTCAAACATACCCCGAGGGGTCCCAGATTGGAGAGGGTGCAGGCTGGACTGAGCGACACCCTCCCCCCAGTGCACACATTTCGTGCACCAGGCCTCTAGTCCAGTGATGGTGAACCTTTTGAGCTTGGCGTGTCAGCATTTTGAAAAACCCTAACTTAACTCTGGTGCCGTGTCACATATAGAAATTTTTTGATATTTGCAACCATAGTAAAACAAAGATTTATATTTTTGATATTTATTTTATATATTTAAATGCCATTTAACAAAGAAAAATAAACCAAAAAAATTAGTTTACATGTCACCTCTGACACGCATGTCATAGGTTCACCATCACTGCTCTAGTCCTATCTAATAAAGAGGGAATATGCTAATTGACCCTCATGCCATCACAAAGATGGTGGTGCCCACAGCCAATAAGGAGGGAGTATGCTAATTGACTGCCACGCCCTCAAAGATGGTGGCGCCCACAGCCACAAGATGGTGCCCAGTTCCCTCAGCCTCTGAGCCACCCAGGGCCGGCCTGAGGCGCAGGCAAGCCTCAGATGTTGGCTGCCCAGCCGCCCAGGGCCGGCCTGAGGTGCAGGCAAGCCTCTGATGGAGGCTGCCCAGCCACCCAGGGCCGCCCAAGGCTCAGGTAACCAGGCCTGGCTGAGACTTGTGCTGCCGGCAGTGGCAGCAGCAGAGGTGTGATGGGGCGTCACCTTCCCCTGATTGCCGGGTTGCCTCCCGCCCCTGAGGGCTCCTGGACTGTGAGAGGGGCCAGGTCGGGCTGAGGTACCCCCCCCTCCAGTGCATGAATTTTCATGCACTGGGCCTCTAGTCTTAAATAGTATTATTATTATTGTTAATCCTCACTGGAGGATATTTGTTTCCATTGATTTTTACAGAGTGGAGGGGAGGGAGGAAGAGAGAGAGAGAGAGAGAGAGAGAGAGAGAGAGAGAGAGAGAGAGAAACATTGATGTGACAGAGACACCTTGATTAGTTGCCTCTTGCACATGCCTCAACCGGGGCCAGGAATTGAACCTGCAACCTAGGTACATGCCCTTGGCTGGTAATTGAGTAATCATATTATTATTAATGTGCATGCATTATCCAGCTTTTTAGTTGGCAGGAATAGGGCTGAGACTGTGTGGGTTTTGCTTTGCCTCTTCCTGGGCCTGGTGAGCTCCCATCTTGGGAGTGTGCCTGTCCCCCACCCCCCACCAACCACATACACACCCATGGGCCCATGAAACATTCAGAGCAGTTGTAGAGATGTACCAGGGCCTCTTGAGGCTAACTCCCCCCTTCCTTACTGGTCCACCTCCTCCAGATACATCTCAGTTGGCCCCATCCCCCTCATGGATGGGCACACAACCTTTAGATAGCACCAGGGACTCTGAGCAGCATGCAGGGCCCAGACCTCCACTCTCCCAGCTGGAGGCCACAGTGGGAATGACCATGGGTTCCCAGTTCATAGGTGAGCCTGGGGAAACTCTGATCTCAAACAGACCCTGCCACCATGAGTGGAGAGGTCATGTGGCCTTTGTGGGACTGAGAGCCCCATGTCCTGGGTGACATCTTAGGGTGACCAGGGTTCAATGGTTTTCAAGAGGAGTTGAATTTTCATGTGAACATTTCCAATTGGTAACTAATTTAAAACTAAAAACCCACCATGTGGGATAAACAAGTGCAGTCATGGGCTAGATCAGTGATGGTGAACCTATGACATGCGTGCCAGAGGTGACACGCGAACTCATTTTTTTGGTTGATTTTTCTTTGTTAAATGGCATTTAAATATATAAAATAAATATCAAAAATATAAATCTTTGTTTTACTATGGTTGCAAATATAAAAAAATTTCTATATGTGACACGACACCAGAGTTAAGTTAGGGTTTTTCAAAATGCTGATACGCCGAGCTCAAAAGGTTCACCATCACTGGGCTAGATAGTACCTGTGGCCTCCTGGCCAGAACCAAAGGTGTGGTAGAACCTCTTCACTGTACACAGATGCAGAGCCGAGATTCAGAGAGGGCAAGGGCCTTGCTTAGATTTGCACAGTGAATGAGGAAAACACAAAGTCAGGCTCTAATGTTCCTCATCATCACTCTGGGCCTGGGGCAGGGGTGAATCCAAGATATAGAATCACTTGAGTGTGGGCAGAGCATGATGCTGGGGGATAGGGTCCTAGGGCCAGGTCACTGTGGGGGCCGAGAGGGTGAGCAGAACTAATGGACTGACTTGTAGGAGAATGCACGGTGGGGTGGGTGGGGTATAGTGGGCCTGGGTAGCAACAAAGGTCCTCTGGGAGGAGCCTGCCAACCTCTGGTGGGAATATTTCCCTCTTAGGATGTGTTGTTCATGTGAGTGTGTGATGAATGGAAAGGCAGATGGAGGGTGGGAGGAGGATTTAGGTCTGCAAATGTTTCTTTTCTTAAATGACACTTGAGCATTGACTCAAGGCCTTTGTGCTGTCCACTCTACTTCCATGGAGAGTCGCTGACTTTGTTATGGGGACAGCAGGCCTGGTTCTCCCTGAGACCGATTCCGAATCAACCTGGGTGTATGGAGCCCTCCCCTTTCCTGGAGTGGCTTCTCAGCTTGGGGGATGTGCATGTTACCTCTTGGAGTCCAGCAACCTCCCTGGCCCCCTGGCCTGGGCATAGACTCCTGTCCCCGGTAGCATTCTTACCATCTTCACTTGGATGATCCCTGGGCTTCTCAAACTCAGTACTGCCAAACTGAACTGCATGTCTCCCCTGTGGGTCCATGGCCCTCCTTCCACAGCCTTTCCTGCCTCAGGAAGCGGCAGCTCCATCCTTCTAGGTGCTTCGGCCAAAACCTGGGCTCATCATGGACTCCTCTCCTGTTACACCCATGCAGTCTAGCAGCAAATCCTGTCAACTCTACTTCAAAATTCCCCTGTCCACTGTCCTCTCCCGCCTCCTATGACTGGCTTCTCGGCTCTGGCCCGGCTCCCATGTTTTCAACAAAGCAGCCCTAACAGAGCCCATCAAGTCATTCCAGGCCACAGCTTCCAGCAGCCCGCACTGTAATCAGAATCTCGCATGATCTGGCTGCCATCACATTCACCCTTGCTCAATTTGCTCAGCAGTGATGGTGTTCTACCATTCCTCATCTCCCTCCTTCTGGTCCTGCCCCAGGTCCTTTGTACCTGCTATTCTTGTCGCCTGACATACTTTGCCTACAGACATTCAGGTGGTTGTCTCCATTGATTCACTCAGATCTCAGCTCAAATGCCACTTCCTTAGAGAAGCCTTGCTTGACCACCCTGGCTAAAATCAGCTCTTTCACACCCAAAGCCAGCAGCTACACCATCCTGGTTACTCCCTTGTTGGGGTCTAACCCCAGCAGGTCCAGGGGTTCCCAAAGGTGCGGACAGAGTCGGCGAAGAAGGAAGGACACGGAGACAGGGTTCAGTTCATCAGCATAGCGAGGTTCTCCAGCCAGGATCTGTGTTTTATTGTCTTGTTACATCTGTCTTTATACCAGTTGATTTTAATCCTATCAATTTCTATTCCAAAGGTTAGGGCATTTCTTATCTCCATTCCAGGGAGTAAAGATTATGTAGCTTAAGCGTGATTGTTCGTAGTTAAAGTGATTAACTACCCACCTGGCACTTAGTTAAGGGGTTTTATTCCCTCCCTAACTTCAGGGAAAAATCCTCACCTGGGGAAACAACCTTTCTAGGGGAGGTGGTCCTGTTTAAAACACATAGCATTAAGAGGGGGAGCAAACATATGCCATATACGCCAGGTCCCTTGAAAGATAAGCTGTGCAGATGTTTCTTCCCTGCAGCAACTGTGTCAAGCCGCAAGGGTGAACCAGCTTCCGGCACTCCCTGTTCCGTTTCCCTGCTCTTATTCATTCATTTCTTCATTGTACTTATCACATTCAGAAACCCACTGAATTGCTGTGGGTTTATGATCTCCCTCCCTACATCAGAGGGTCAGTGCTAGCAGAATGGCCATGAAGCCTGTCTTATCCTATATAATCAAAGGTTAATATGCAAATCAACCGAACAGCAGAACAACCGGCCACTATGATGTGCACTGACCACCAGGAGGCAGACGCTCAATGCAGGAACTGCCCACTGGTGGTCAGAGCGCTCCCGCAGGGGGAGCACCACTCAGCCAGAAGCCAGGCTCCCGGCTGGCGAGCACAGCATCGGTGGCGGGAGCCTCTCCTACCTCTGTGGCAGTGCTAAGGATGTCCGACTGCTGGCTTAGGCCCGCTCCCCTGAGGGCTTCCAGACTGCGAGAGGGTGCAGGCTGGGCTGAGGGATCCCCCTCCCAAGTGCACAAATTTCATGCACCAGGCCTCTAGTTTGCGAATAAACCCCAAGTTCTAGAAGGATTCGTGCACAGAGGATCTGCTCGGTTGGTGCTGGCTGAGTGGCTAGCAGAGGCAGATCTCCTTTCCTGGCTGTGCTGGACACTAAGTGGCCATTGTTCTGTCATTGCCCCACCAGACACTATGCTTGGGGACATGGGGACATTGGGATAAGGGCATGTGTGTGAGTGAAAGAGCCTGAGGCTTCATCCAGCCATGTGCAGGTGTGTGTGTGCCTGGGCGGTGCATGTGTTTTCATGTGTAGGCCCCATATGGTGCTGACAGGTGTCCTTTCTGATTCCCCCAGGGCCTCGCAGGAGAGGGGACCTTTTGGCTCGAGGTGGCACCTGGGCTGCACCTGGGCTGGCGGTGGGACCATGGTGATGTTCTGGGAGCCTGTAGGAGCCTGGTTGGCCCTGGCCCTGGCCCTGGGTGCCAGCATAGGTGCAGCAGCCCCACGGCAGGACTGCACGGGTGTCGAGTGCCCACCGCTGGAGAACTGCATCGAGGAGGCGCTGGAGCCGGGTGCCTGCTGTGCCACGTGCGTGCAGCAGGGCTGTGCCTGCGAGGGCTACCAGTACTATGACTGTCTGCAGGGTGGCTTCGTGCGTGGCCGTGTACCCGCAGGCCAGTCCTACTTTGTGGACTTTGGCAGCACTGAGTGTTCCTGCCCACCAGGTGGCGGCAAGATCAGCTGCCAGTTCATGCTGTGCCCCGAGCTCCCACCCAATTGCATCGAGACTGTGGTGGCAGCTGACAGCTGCCCGCAGTGCGGCCAGGTGGGCTGCGTGCACGCTGGCCGCAAGTATGCTGCTGGTCACACAGTCCACCTGCCACCGTGCCAGGCCTGCCACTGTCCTGACACTGGTGGTGAGCTCATCTGCTACCAGGTCCCCAGTTGCCATGGAGATGCCAAGGCCATGCCCACTGCCACCAGTGGGAACTTCTCAGATGCTGAGGAGAATGAACCTGAGCGACACTATGAAGACCCCTACAGTTATGACCAGGAGGTGGCTGAAGCAGAAGCCGCAGCGGCTTTGGCAGGCGAGCTTCAGGCAAGCACAGGGGCCCCAGCCACCCTGGGAGGTGGAAGTCAGCCACTGTCTGCCATCCAGGCCACCCCCTGGCTGGCCGTTCTCCTCAGGCCAACAGCGGCTGCTGCCCTGGGTCCGCCAGCTCCTGTTCAAGCCAAAGCCAGGAGAGTGATGGAGGACAGCCAGGGGGCAGGGGAGGAGGAGAGGGAGGACATCGCTGTCAGGGAGCCACTGGCAGCAGGTGGCCTTCGGGGGCTCGATGGGCCTCCCGGTGCAGGCCCAGCCGAGCCCAGTCTCCCTTTGCAAGAGGAGAAGGCAGATGCCAGGGCAAGGCCCGAAGATAACCTTATCCCAGATGCCCAGGCCACCCCACAAAGTACTGGACAGGAGGGAGCCAGCCCCATGCTGGGGTCAAGCACGGCCAGTGTCCTCCAGTCTCAGGCCACATCGAGTTCTCCCGGAAACCCAACAAAGCCCAGCAGCCACACCATCCTGACCACACCTCCCCATGAGGCCACCCAGGTCCCACCTATCCAGGAAGTGCCCAAGCAGCCACCAGCTCTGCCCCATCTTCGGCCAGAGGAGGACACTGACCCCAACTCTGTCCATTCTGTCCCCAGAGGTGACCCTGAAGGTAAGCGTCTTTCAAGTTTCTCCCTAGCACTCAGTCCAGGGAAGGCAGCCCTGGGCCCTGTAACTGCCTAGGTCTCTGTACAGCTGCCTGGGGCAGGGGAAGCTGGGTCTGAGTGCCCCACACTTTAGGGCATGAGCTTAGATACCACTTTCTCCCTGGCTTAGCTCCTGGGAATGGAGTGGGTGGGTGCAGGTGAGGTCCCTGTTGAAGTCAGTGCTGGGCTACATGCGTGGTATGGCTGTGGTCAAAGGCCCAATAGGCACCCTCACAGGGTTGGGGGTCCTGAGGAGGGTCCTGCTTAAGTGCAGGTGGGGCCTGGAGTGTCCACAGAACCCCAGCAGGAGGTGATGAGTTTCACATCCTTCCAGGCATGGCTGTGACCTTTGTCTCTGAGGAGACAGCCTAGGGCATGCAGTCTCACATGAGAGCTCTTTCTGAGAGTCAAGGGCTATGTCCGGCACATCTTCCAGTTGGTTCTGTTAACACACAAGTTGTTCTCATTCCTCTGCTCTGCACCTGCCGTGGCTTCCACCTACTCAGTGTAGAATCCACAGCCCTCTCGGGCCACAGGCCCTGCACAGCCTGCCTGCGACCTCTTGCATCTCATCTCCATCACCCTTGTCTTAGTCTGTCTGGTCTGCTGTAACAAAAATACCACAGATTGGGTGACTGAAATGACAAACACTTATTTCTCACAGTTCTGTGGGCTGGGAATCCAAGGTGAAGGCTGGGTTGAGGGCCTACTTCCTGGTTTGCAGATGGCCAGGCTCTCATTGTGTCCTCACATGGCAGAGCAGGCGAGGATACATCTCATCTGAGATAACATTACAGGAGGAGAAAACTCTTGCTTGTTTCTTTTTAGAAGGACACTGATTCCATCATGAGGACCCCACCTTCATCATCTAATCACGTCCTAAAAGCTTCATCTCCAATACTGTCCCATTGAGGATTAGGGTTTTAACACAGGTATGGGGGTGGGGGGATAAACATTCAGTTCCTAGCAACCCTTCCTCTTACCCACTGTGCTCAGCCCCACTGATCTGTCTAGATCAGGGGTCCTCAAACTATGGCCCGCGGGCCACATGCGGCCCGCCAAAAACATTTATCTGGCCCGCCGGGTGTTTTTGCTGCCGCTGTGTGCATAGGAATTTGTTCATAGTTTTTTTTTTAAACTATAGTCCGGCCCTCCAACGGTCTGAGGGACAGTGAACTGGCCCCCTGTTTAAAAAGTTTGAGGACCCCTGGTCTAGATACCATAGCAGCCCCAGGGCCTTTGCACTTGCCACTTGCTCTTCCTGAAATGCTCTTCCAGGTGTCCATTTGGTTCACTCCTGTACTCCATTCTGCTCTCTGTTCAAGGTCCCCTCCCCAGAGAGGCTTTCCTTGGGCACCGAACTAAAAGAACACCATACCTTCCTCTTACTTTGCTGTAATTTTTCCTAGTAGAATGTTAGTGCCATGGGCAGAGGGACCACATCTGTCATCTTTCTGCTGTGTACAGGAGCCTCCAGCAGGGCCTGGGTGAATGAATGAGTGAATCAATGCAAGCTCTGTGGCCACCCCTCTAGCAGTCATCCCTCTTCTCCCTAATTCCCCTGCCGTCCCATGAACCCTGCAGCATTGTCTCCCCCTCTGTTCCACACACGTGTTCACTGTTTTCAACGAGCACAGGTGCACCTCCTTTAGGAGAGCCTTCCTTGAATCTTTGTGTCTTGTTGACCCTCCCCTCAGCTCCATTTTCTTTCTCCCCACTGAGGGTGTTCTGGGGACTTACCTCATTGTCTAGTGATCTCTCTCCACAGCTAGGGGTCTGTGTCTTGTTCAGTCTCATATCAATAATTCTACAAACCTTTATTAGGTATAAATAATGAGCAGGTCTTGGTGGGCCCTGGCGAGGCAGGAATGAACCACTATGGTGGGGGGCTGTGAGGGGGAGATGCCTGGGAGGTATCTGGGAAGGCTTCTTGGAGGATGGGGCATGAGGGGACTCTGGGATTTCTGCAGCATTCCCATTGACCCACCCTCATGCCCACAGCTGTGTGGCCTTGGGCAAGTCTCTTAACTGGCCTGGGCCCCTTTTCCCATCTGTCAAGTGCTATAGGCCTTGCTGGGCAGCAGCTGTGTGCAAAGCCTGTGCACATGCAGGTTTCTCTGACCTGTAGGCCAGGTGGTCCAAAAGCCCAGAGGGCTCTGCACCCAGCCTGCTTACAGTGGGTAGGCACACAGTTCATCCTCACAGAGCACCTATTGGTACTCCAGGCCCTGTTTCTGTGACTTGATGTTCCCCCCAAGCCAGGGAGGTACATTTCTTCTCATTTCAAGGTCAGAGAGGTGTTTCTAGTGGCTCCAGGTCACAGAATGGGAGTGGTGGACTGGGACCTGATCCTTGTGCTTCAGCGGCCTCCTTCCCACCACACCCAGAGCCTGTGGGGAGTGAGGAGTATGTGTGGGCTGAGGTGGGGCTGTAATGAGAGGGCTTGGAGGCCTGGTTCCAGAGCATGCAGCCCCTAGGGCAGTGGTTCTCAACCTTACTAATGCCACGACCCTTTAATACAGTTCATGTTGTGGTGACCCCCAATTTCATTGTTACAAATTGAACATAATTAAAGCATAGTGATTGATCACAAAAACAATATGTAATTATATATGTGTTTTCCGATGGTCTTAGGGGACCCTGTGAAAGGGTCGTTCGACCCCCAAAGGGGTTGCGACCCACAGGTTGAGAACCGCTGCCCTAGGGTTTCCAAAATAGACTCAGCCCTGCCCTCTACCCACCTCTTGCCTCCAGAGGCCTCTGTGCTTCTGGGCTTTGGAATCCTGGAGAATTGCTTTGTTCTCAGGATCCCTGGTTTTTCCTTTTCCTTTCTGCCCTGGGCTTTCTCAGTGGATTTTGGAGTCTGGCCTTTGATGAGGCTGCTTGTGGATAGGGGTCTCTGACTGAGTGCCCCTTACCGCCTATGAAGGCTGTCCTGGCAGAGGCCCCACACATGCACAGAGAATGATCAGGGCATGAGGATGGACAGGCTGCTGCAGCTTTTGGTGCGTGGGGAAGGAAGGAATGGGAGGCTGATATGGGGGTGGGGGAAGGGGGTGGCTTTAAATGGGACCTAGTAGGTTGGCCCTGGTCAGATACACAAAGACTGGCCTACCAGCCACCACCCCCAAATATATTTTGTCCTCCTACCTACCCAGTATCCACCTGTCACCTGTGTAACTTAGGTAAATGGCTTATCTTTTCTTGCCTCAGTTTCCTCATCTTTAAGCAGCAGAGAAGTCCCTGCTTCATGGGGCTGTTGTTTTTTTAATCCTCATCTGAGGATATTTTTTTTCCATTTTTTTTTTTTAGAGAGAGTGGAAGGGAGGGAGGGAGGGAGGAGGAGGAGGAGGAGAGAGAGAGAGGTGAGAGAGAGAGACAAAGAGAGATGTGAGAGAGACACATTAATTAGTTGCCTCCTACACACGCCCATGTACGTGTCCTTTTCATGTCCAGTGCTTGGCAGGGAACTTAGTACTTGCAGAGTAGTTACAACATTAGCCATTATTACTCACTATCCTTCTTCAGTTCGCGCATCTCTTCAGCAGATGTTTAGGGAGCACTCTGTCTGTGCCAAGGGCTGTGTAGTGAGAAAGGCAGGCGCAGCCTCCCCACTGAGGTCTCGCTGGGGAGGAGGCGTTGAACTGATAGGCACACAGATTTATCCATGGTCACAACCATGTGCAGGGGGAGTTGGTAGGAGGCCTGATAGGGGCTGGGTCAGGTGTCCAGTTGAGCATCTTGGGAGAAGTGGGGGGCCTTAGAGGCCTCTGACTGCTGTTGTGGGGGAGGACTTGGGGGGTCCCCAGTGATGGAAGGGCCCTCTGTGAGGAGAAGCTGGGGAGGTGGCTTTGTCCTGTTTGCCTGGGGGCCTGCTGAGAGGTAGGACATGGAGTCGGAAATGACCCCCAGCCCTGTTGCCATGGTAGCCCTGGGGCCCAGAGAAGGAGGTTTCCAGCCATTGCCCGAGGCCTGGCTGGGGCAGAGGTAGGGGAAAACAGGGGTTGGGGCGGGGAGGGGGGGGTTCCTGTCTTTGAGCCGGAACCCTGCCAGGGATCCAGGCTGCCTCTGAGCATGTCCAGATGTGGCCTAATGGAAGCCACATGCCTGCTCTGTGGGCCCGGCAGAGGGGTGTGACGGCTGTTGTCATTCAGGGGGCTTTGTGAGGGGGGCTTCTATTGCTGGGCTGGCATGATGAAGGGGGTTGGCATGATGAAGGGGGTTGGCAAGCACACCACCCCTAACATCTGCTGCCCTCCTGGGCCACAGGGTGGGAACCCTGGGACAGGGTGACCCTCAGGAAGTGGAGACTCTCAGAGCATCCGGAGGCAGCCCCCCTCCTGGAAAAGACTCCAGCACCACCTCTGCAGGGTCCCAGGGCCGCGGCAGGAAAGAGGCCCCTTCCTCAGGGCCTCAGTTAATCAGATTCTGCAGGGCAGGGATCTCTGAGTGCTTTGACGGTCTGGTTAGCAGAGAAGCTATTTAAACTCAAATAACTTTATGCTAATCACAGACACCATATAGTGCTTATGCCTGTGCCAGGCACTTTTGTAAGCTCTGTGTGATTATTAACCCTTTAATCCTCATATCCACTCCCTTAGTTTATAGAGAGGATGCAGGCCACTTGCCCATGGACACATGTGTAGGAAGTGGTGGGTCTAGGTTCCTTTGCATGCCTTCATGTCTTTATCCCTGACAGTCATTCCTGAGTGCCAGGGTGTCCACAGGCTGTGACAGATGAAGAAAGCATAGTGTTGAACAAAATCTACATTGTCTTTGCCCTCTGGAAGCTTATGGCTTATGGAGGAAGTAAAGAACCCACTAGTCACTGGGTGTGGAGTTTCTGTGCCCTGTGAGCTTGTGTGTGTGTGTGTGGTGGGTGGGGGTCCGGGGAAAGGGAGGGGGGAACCAGATTCCTCCTGGAGATCAGGGAAGGCTCCGTAGGGAAAATTATGTTTGAGCAGGA